TTCTATCTCTGAGTTTAATGGTTGTCTGAGCAAATGTTTTAAGAGTTATCATAAAACCACAGAATATGCTGGGATGGAAGGGACCATCCAAGTCCAGCTCCTGGGTTGCTGTGCAGGCAGCAGCTCTCACTTCAGCTCAGTGGATTTGCCTCCTGTCAGGGAGTGAGTTGTGCCTGCTCTGTCTCTGCCCCCAGGCTGACAGAATCAGGCCTCTCCATGGTTGACTGGCACCTGGTGAAGGAGATGAAACCCCCACAGACACAGCAGGAGTGGGAAGCTGAGTTCCAGAAGTACCAGCAGTTCCCGGAGTTTAAAATGTGAGTGTGCAAAATTGGAAGGAGAGTGGGCTGAGGCCATCCCTTCTGCGACTGAGCCATTCAGGGAGCTCTTGTAAGAAGGAAAATGTTTTCTGAAGTCACTAGAAAGGCACACAAAGCCTGCCTGGTGGTGGCTCCTTCCTTTTTCTGAGGAAGGTGACCCTGTGTCGTGCAAAGTTCAGTGTAAGGCTGTTGCATCACATGGAAAGGTTCTTTGTTTTACTGTCTTTAACAGCCTGAACCGTGACATGACCCTGGCAGAGTTCAAGTTCATTTGGTACATGGAGTACTCGCACCGCATGTGGGGCCGTGTCGTGGGCCTGGTCTACATCCTGCCTGCAGCCTATTTCTGGCACAGGGGCTGGCTCAGCCGCCCCTTGAAGGGCCGTGTGCTCGCCCTCTGTGGGCTGGTCTGCTTCCAGGTGAGAGAGCTCTGCAGCCACGGGGATGATCATGGAATCATAGAATGACCTTAAAGATTACCCAGCTCCAACCCCCCTTGCCATGGGCGGGGACATCTCTCACTGGAACAGGTTGCTCAGAGCCCCATCCAGCCTGGCCTTGAATGCTTCCAGGGATGGGACATCCACAGCTTCTCTAGGCAAACTGTTCTAGTGCCTCACCCACCCCCACAGTAAAGAATTTTTTCCTAATATCTGATCTAAACCCACTCTCTTTCAATTTGGTGTCTTCTGATTGAGCATAGCTGATTCAGTGGGGTTCATGACAGCTTGAGGGGTGTCAGTGCTGGTAGCTGGTTGAAGGCAGAGGAAACAAGTTGCTTTGCCCCTAAAGTTTATCTGGTCTTAGTAGTTGCTGCTGCCCTGTCTGGCTGTAACCCCTCTCCTGTTCTGTTAGGGGCTGCTGGGGTGGTACATGGTGAAGAGTGGGCTGGAGGAGAAGCCAGACTCGTACGACATCCCTCGGGTCAGTCAGTACCGCCTCGCAGCACACCTTGGCTCCGCACTGGTCCTGTACTCTGCAAGCCTGTGGACAGGGCTGACTCTGCTGCTTCCACAACACAAGGTATGGAGTGCTGTGTCAGGGGTCAGAAGCTCAGGGTAGTGTCAATTCAGAGGTCTGGGTTGTGATGTGAAGGGTAGGGAAAGGATGTAAAGGCTGATGGTGCTCTGTTTTAGTCTCAGTTCCTGACTCTGACCTAATACTTAGAGAATACTTACAGTTTACAAAATACCATTCTGTAAACCTCATGGTTATGGGACACTTCCTTTGTCTTATGATGTTTGGCTCAAAAGGGATTAGACTCAGAATTTGTGGCAGTTCAGGCAAGGGTGTGCCTGGCTGGGCTAAATGGTTTGTGCCAGTAACTGTCCAGTGGCCACTTCAATTTCTGCACAGGGTTGAACTTGATTAGCTGTGGTTTTGAGGAACCACTGACGTGTGACTTCTGTGTGGTGGTCTATAGATTCCTCCTGTAAAATAAGGGCAAACCCATTGTCCTGTACATGCAGTGAAGACTTTTCTTAGCTGCTGCCAACAGTACTGGAAATGCTTTGCCTTGATTTTTTTCTGCTTTTCTTTGGTTTTTATTTTACAGTTGCCTGAAACGCATCAGCTCCTTCGCTTGAAACAATATGTTCATGGCACTACAGCTCTCATTTTTCTTACTGCCCTTTCAGGTAAGGCTCTTTCTTTCTACTGTCCCATTTGCCACTCATTCCTCTCTGCTGTTTGGTTTTTTTCTGCTGATCTGGTGGGGACTGTAAGCAACCTCATTCATTCTCTGGGAAACGTGCTGCTGTCACAGAGCTTACAGTCAAGAATGTCCTTACTGGTCTTTCCAGGTGGAGATGTGCCTTGCAGCCTGCCTGTGCTGTGTGATCTCTGTGTATGTTTCTAAAAGAAATTCAGGATCAAGCTGAGCTCTTGAATCAGAGCTGTGCAACCTGGAGTGACATCTTTGCCTACTCTGGTAGTCTTTATTTTTTGCTCTGGAATTGCAGGTGCCTTTGTGGCAGGACTGGATGCTGGCCTTGTGTACAATTCCTTCCCCAAAATGGGGGAGCGCTGGATCCCAGATGATCTCCTTGCCTTCTCTCCTGTGCTGAGAAATATCTTTGAGAATCCTACAACTGTACAGTTTGATCACAGGATCTTGGTAAGTGCTGTCTTCCTTATGTGTCTGGGTTGCTTCTGTCCTCTTTGGGCTGTGGTTCTTTCTGTCAACTTGAGTGATTTCCAGGGTGTCCAAAGGGCCTGAGAGCATCTTACCAATTTGCTTCTGCAGGAAGAGGAAGTTTAGCATTCTTATTTTCAATGTGGCCTTCTTCCTTAAGGAGGTCTTCCTCCTGCGCAAGTAAAAGACTTTGTTTCTTTGTGTCTCCTTTTCCATAACGTGAGCTACAGTGGGAGGTAGCCCTTGCTATTGAGATGTCTGGGAAAGCTGTGTGAAATAAAACTTGGAAATCCCGATAGTGAATGCTTCCTTCAGCATTTCTGAACCTGCTTTACACAGTAGCACCCTGTGAAAATATCTCAGCTAGTTAGAGCAATCCGATTATTAAATACCACTGGCAGCACTGCTGTGAACTAAGCCGTGGCTAAGACTAAAAAGGAAGATTAAGAGGAATCACCTGGGCTGACCTGCACAGCAAGATTATGCTGGTGCACTACAGCTGAGTGGTGGAAAGGAGATCAGTTTTCCAGATGACAGCTTCCACCTTCAGTTGTCAAGGTGAGAGCTGGGAAGAGGGCAGACATAATCCCTAATGAATAAAAGAGGAAAAGCTGTTGGAAAGTAAAACATTAATTTGGAGCAAAAATGAAACTCTCTGTAACTTCAGTTAGAGTTCAGGGTTGTTAACCTCATGGCATTGGGAGCTCTGAGATTTGGTCATGGCTGATAATGTGTTTCTGTGGTTAAATATTGCTCACAGAATTTCTTCTACTGCAGCCAAAGGTGCAGCCAAAGGCTACTGCACCCATTTCCTTTGAACTTTTGTGGAAGGGTGGTTGTTTCCCTTCCCTTCTGTAGGGAATTGCCTCCGTCACAGCTGTCACAGCACTGTACCTCTTCTCGCGGAAGATCCCACTCCCTCGCAGGACCAGGATGGCTGTGACTTCCTTACTGGCTGTGGCTTGCATTCAGGTACTGCCTTTTTTGTTGTTTTTGCCTCAGCTTGGATCTGGGCCCGAGAGCTTGGAGCTGAGAGGTGGAGCTGCCTAGACCCTACACCTCACCATACTGCATGCACACTCTGAATTTGGGGGTGGGAAGTCCTGCTGTGGCTTGTGAGCCTTTCTACACCACGCTTTGTGCTGGGGATGGTATCAGTGGTGCATCCATAGCTGCTCTTAACCTCTTCTCCCCTTCTTGGCAGGTGGGCCTGGGCATCAGCACACTGCTGCTCTATGTCCCCACACCTCTGGCTGCTACCCACCAGTCAGGCTCCCTGGCACTGCTCAGCATGGCACTGTGGCTCATGAGCGAGCTCCGGAGAGTCCCCAAGTAACCCACCCGCAGGAGAGCCCTGCCGGAGGGAGCTGCAGCGCCGAACCCAGGGGCGGCCCAGACCCTTCACCCCGGGTGCACGGGCGGATGTGCGCCCGGACGGGTTGGCGCAGGGAGGCGGCGGGTGTGAGTGTAAACTTTGT